TCAAGGTGGACGGCTTCCGGCCCCGCCCCCCTGGGGTAGGCCTGGGCTGGGATTTGGGAAGTGGGGATGGCTGAAGCCCCTGCATCTCTTCCAAACCCTCCTTCCATTTCCTGTGCCTCTCTGCCAAACTCTACTATCCCCAGGACTCCTCAGAGATCACACTGGGCCCCCAAGGTGACTGCAGCCCATCCCCTCATGAGGTCTTCCACTGAGTTGTCCTGTAAAGTGTTGCCATTGGCTTTTACCAAAAGTCACTAAACTACACAGAAAACAGCTCCAGCATTTGCTGTGAGATTTTTGCCAAAACTTGCTCATTATTTCACACAGTGCTCTACAGAAAGCACCATCCGATTATTTCCTATAACATTCATGGACACCTGGAGCACAGTCTAGATGAAATCTCAGATCCCAATTCTGCCATGCACTAGCCATCGATTTTAGGCAAGTCACTTAACCTCTCTGGGTCCATTTCCTCATGCCGATTTTTTCCATAGGATTATTGTAATAAGAGGTCATAATATATGCGTTCTTGGTAAAATACTTGACACATAGTAGGAGTTTAAGAAATGATACTTATTTTATTATTTAAAGCTTTCTCTAGAAGAACTAAGCATACTTCCTCCTTTTTGATCACGAGAGATATATAATGGACTGTTTGCCTTTTTGCCTGGTTGCTAGGAAGATCAGGGCCAAACCTGAAGCTCAGTTACAGCAGCTATATCAACCCTATGATTAGCATTGATGCTTCCTCCTTACTTAGTACTGGGCTTTTATTTCTGCTTTATTAACTTTATTGCCTCTTGCAGTTAGCCATCTTAAATCCTGTTTAGAAAGAGGTAGTGTGTAACTACAATCATTTTTTTTCCTCAATGGTTATCCCTCTCTAGGGCCAAGAGCCTGGCTGGCAGAGCTTGGACGGCTCTGCGTTCCCATCTCCAGAGGAGGTGCCATCTGCCACCAGCCCTGGCACTGAGCCCACTGGAACCTCAGAGCCACTGGGAACAGGCACTGTGTCAGGAGAGCTGTCCAGCCCATGGGCTGCTGGGGACTCAGAGCAGAGTGAGTGCTGGGTGTATGTGTGTGGCAGTGTTAGAAGAGTAGGCAGTGGGAGAGGGCTGGGGTCCATTCTCCTGCCTCCATCAGGTACTGATGTTCTGACAGACCCAGTCACGGACTCTGGACCCAACCCCTCTTCTGACACAGCCATATGGCGCCGCATCTTCCAGTCCTCGTACATTCGGGAACAATATGTGCTCACCCACTGCTCTGCCAGCCCAGAGCCAGGCCCAGGCTCCACAGGCAGCAGTGAGTCCCCTGGCTCCCTTGAGGGCAGTGCCCCCCTGGATCCCCCTTCTCAGCAGGGCTGCCGAAGCCTGGCCTGGGGAGAACCTGCAGCATCCCGCTCCTGTCCCCTGCCTCCACCCCCACTGGCTTCAGTCAAGGTGAGAATCAGTCCACATCCATTTACTGTATCTCCAGCTAGTATTTATTGACCATCTGCTGTATGCCATACATTGTGCAGTGGTTACTATTAAATCTAGCTGAAGAGCTAAATGGGTAAATCTATAATGATGATACCATGCAACATACAGTGCTGAGCCTAGGGACATGGTGTTATGGGGGCTCAGAGTCAAAGCGACTTAACCCTGTCTGAGGGAGTAAGGAAAGAGCCATATATGGAAGAATAAGTAGCCAGGCAAAGAGGGAGACTACATGAACAAAAACAAAGACAAGCAACAACCTTAAGTGAGAAATAGGGTGTGGAATGAGATGACTCTGAGAAGGGGGCCAGAGGCCATAAGGAGCCTGGCCTTTCTCCTAAGGGTGGTGAGCAGCCATTCAGAGTTTCAGACAAAGGCATAGGTGACCAGTTGTATGTGTATGTGTATGTATGATGGCTGGGAGCTCTAGATTCCTTGACTAGTGGACCTGACTTCTCATATGCAGGTTGGGGCCTTGAGTGCTGAGGTGCTGGGCCGTCAACGTAGAGCAGCTCTTGCTGGCCGAAGCCTGTCATCACCCCCAGGCAGGGTGAACCCAGTTCCTGCACACCCCCGGCACCCCTCTCTGGGTACAGCACCAGATGAGCCAGGCCCTGAGCCAGGGCAGCAGCTGGGACAAGGCCTGGATGACTCAGGTAAGGGTTAGATGGGCAGCTGAATTCTGACACTAAGAAGGCCTTGGGGAGGTGGAGTCCAGGGTACCACACTGCCTGTTGCTGCCATTGTCTCCTCAGGAAACTTGCTCTCCCCAGCCCCAATGGAGTGGGACATGTTGATGGAACCACCCTTCTTGTTCACGGCTGTGCCCCCCAATGGGGAATCGGCCCCCGCAGCAATGCCACTGCCTCCCCAGGCTCCACGCTGCCATGTGGTGATCCGGGCCCTGTGTGGGGAGCAGCCTATGTGCTGGGAGGTGGGTATTGGGTTAGAGACACTATGGGGGCCTAGGGATGATGGCTCACTACCTCCATCACCCCCTGAAAGAGAAGGTGTTTGGGACCAACCACTCCATCGGCTGACAGCAGCTTCCGTGGTCCGGGACAATGAGCAGCTGGCTCTCCGAGGAGGGGCTGAGACCATAGCTGACTGGGGTGAGTTGCTGATGGGCCCACTCAGGGCCCAAGGAGCCTGTATGTGGAAGAGTGGCGGAGGTATAGGTCGGTGTGTTTGATCACTCCTATACCTCACATATAACGAGGTGGCTCACCCACATTGACAAGGGAAAAAAAATAAGCAGGGCAATGGGGAAAAAAAGGATAATAAAATGGAGTGGAGAATGAAGTTTTATTAAAGATGCAGACCATGAGGTTATATGCCTTTGCAACCTAGGACCCAAAATTGGCAAGCTTTTTAGCAGCCAACAGAGGGAAATGTGATCTTGTAATGATTCACAGTACCCATAACAGTTTTTAAAAATGTCATTCAGGAAGACTGTGAAAATCTAAGTTAAAATTTCAGTTCTTCAGTTGCACTAGCCATACTTCAAGTGCTTTATAGTCATATGTGACTAGTGGCTACCATATTGGATCATGCAGATATAGACTATTTCTATCATCACATAAAGTTCTATTGGCAGTAATGAAATGAGTGGACGGAAAAGGCACCAGTCAATGCTTCCTGAGTGGTATCCAGAATGTTGAATTTCTGGGTGACCAGGGGGCCTACCCTTGCTATGGGTTGAGGGTTCAGCCTAACCACTTCCTGTCAAAGTTGGGGAGTCCAAGCTGGTCCTGACCCTGAGAAAGAACTCCACTCTGTTCAAAAGTGGACAGAGGGAGCAGCGAGATTTTTTTCTATGAAGCCCTCTGTAGAGGGAATGCACTCTGTGATGGGAATGCACACCCTTCTGTTCAGCATACTGCTCCTTGGTTTCATAGGCCATGCCCGGAGGTCCTGGCTCCGAGCCCTTCAGACAAGCAAGGTCAGCTCTGTCCCCTCCTGCTTCACCTGCCCTGTAGCTGTGGACGCTATCACTAGGGAGGTCCTGCCCTTGGCCTTGCAGGTGCAGAGTTCAGGTAGGGTCCCACCCAGGTGACCTCTCAGGTGCTGGCCCTCACTTCATTGGCCACCCTCCCACACAAACTTCGGCCCTGTCTTCTGTGCCTCTGCAGAGCCAGCAGAGCCCTCAGGTACCCCTCCTGCCTCTCAGGGCCATCTAGACACAGCTCCTCTGCCCACCGTTGTCCACTCTAAAGGTAACACTCAAATCTGTGGAAATGGTAGGGAGCAATTGGGCTTAGGGACCACCACTGACACTGATTGGCTCCATTGCAGGGCTTAAGGGAGGCTCTCTGGCAGGTGGCTGGGACCTGGACCAAAATGGCAACTCCAAGTCTGCTATGGGGGACCCAGCGGCCCCCTCTGGAGGTCCTCACCACCTGCCCTCCCAGCCTCCCTGTAGGCTCAGCCTCGGCCTTGGGAAGGCCAGAAGCCCAAGCAGCCGTAGACTCTGCAACCCTAACATGGGCCAGGCCAGTGACCACAACAGTGAAGGCAGCAACCATGACTACCTGCCCCTGGTGAGGACTCGGGAGGTGGAGGGTGGTGTTGCCAGGCCGTTGTCTCAGCTCACTTCTCCCCCCACCTCCTCTCTCCTCAGGTACGGTTGCAAGAGGCCCCTGGCTCCTTCCGCCTGGACGCGCCCTTCTGCACGGCGGTGTGCATCCCACAGGAGCGCCTGTGCCGTGCCTCACCTTTTGCTGCGCACCGCGCCAGCCTCAGCCCCACCGCAGCCTCATCTCCCTGGGCACTTCTGGGACCTAGTGTCGGCCAGAGCGACAGTGCCACGGCCTCCTACAGCCAATCTCCCAGCTCAGGCTCCGAGGGTCCAGGCCAAGCAGACAGTGGGCGGGGCTCAGACACCGAGGCCTCGGAGGGGGCAGACGGGACTGGAGGCACTGACCTGCGGAGCCGGACCTGGGCCACGGCCGTGGCACTCGCGTGGCTGGAGCACCGCTGTGCCGCTGCCTTCGGCGAGTGGGAACTAGCAGCTGCTAAGGCCGACTGTTGGTTGCGGGCACAGCACCTGCCCGACGGCCTTGACCTGGCCGCCCTCAAGGCTGCGGCCCGGGGGCTCTTCCTGCTGCTGCGCCACTGGGACCAGAACTTGCAGCTACACCTGTTGTGTTACAGCCCAGCAAACATGTGAGGGCTGCCCATTGCTCGGCCTGCGCCCCTCAACACACTCAAGTCACTGCCACCCAGGCCAGGTTCTCGGTGCTGGGAAGGGGTAGGTTGGTGACAGCCTGCCCTCCACTGCTTCCATCCCCTTTCCAGAATCCTCTTGCCCCCACAGAAAGTGCCTGCGTGTGCTCTCTCCTGCTCCTCCCACCCTCCTGTTCCCTCTGAGCTCTGTGTAGTGCAGAAGGGGAGAGAGCCACAGTCCCCAAATCCTATGCAATAAAGTGCCTCTTAGGACTGGCTGCGTGAGTTCTTTATCTGTTGTATGCACGCCCCTCACAGCTTGGTCCAGGAACCTCTATGTAGGCTGCACAAAAGTGGACTTGGTAAGGTTTATTGGGAAAGTCTCACAGAGTCCATCTGCATCCAGGGTCCTGAGAATGGAGTAGAGGTGAATCTCAGTGGGCTTTCTTGCTGTGCTGGATACTCTTGGGGAAAGGCTGGGGGCCCAGCCAGAGCTGCAGCAAGATGACAGCATGGCATACATGCAGTGCAGCAGAGCTGCAGGATGTGGATGGATATGTGTTCCAGGAGAGCTCAATGAGCCCCAGCACCAGCAACCTGGAGATGAGAAATAAGCTCCAGGTTTCGTCCTGTTTCTGGGCCCCATACCTTCAGCTCACCCCCAGCCCCTCCGGGGTCATAGCCTTGGGATGAGGAGCTCTCTAGCCCTTCCCACTCCCCCAGGTTGTCCCAGATGGTACCTGAGCAGGTGTGTGAGCCGGCGTGCAGGCGTAGCCCACAGGAGGTAGGGCAGTGTGTGGAAATACCAGACGTAGAACTGGTAGTGGAGAGAACGGCTAAAGCAGATGCCAATGAAGTTGGAGGTGAAGAGGGTAGAAACTATCTGTATGCAGTGGTCAAGGCCAAGGGCAGGAGCAGAGGGGGTAGGAGTTGGGGTTAGGGGTGGGATAGGGGTAGGCAGGGAGGTTCCAAAGCAGAGGGGTAGAAGTTTTTGGGTCAGACACCCCCTGGCTCTGCTATTCTTAACTGCATACCTTTGGGGAAGTTTCGTAACCTCTCTGGACCTGCTCCTCAATCTAACTTGGGGACAGTAATACCTAGGGCCGTAAGGCCTAGTGAGTATCATTTACTAGCTGGGTAACCTTGGTAAATTACTTAACCTCTGAAAGCCTAATTCTGCCATCTGTAAATGATAATAAAAATATGTCCCTATATCAGGATGTCTTATAAGCTTTAAATATTAGAATATGTGTAAAGCTCTCAGCACAGCACCAGGCAGAGGGTGAGCACTCACAGTGCTAACTCAACAATATTTAGACTCGAGAAATAAAATATGCTTAAATATGTAAGTGTTTAGCAGAGTGCTTGGTACATAGAGTAGAAGCGCTGTGATGAACCCTGTAGCTATTACTGGTGCCTCTTTTTCCCTCCCCTAGTCACCAGCCATTTAGGGCTACCTAACCAGGGACCCCATCTACACCTAGAGAGGGCAAGACTTACCTTCCCATGATTTAAAGGATATGATTGGGTGTGAGGGGCTGGGGTGGAACCTTCCTTTTGGAGGGATCCTTCAGCAGTGACAGGATACTTTCCCCAGTCCTGGGGAGAAGTCGTTCAGACATTTATAAAGCCTCCATTATGGGCCAAGCTCAACTCACCTGCATGAGGTCAACATCTCCCCTAAGCAGCCCCTAAGGCCCAGGCCCCCAACTCTGCCCATGGCACTGCTCCCCTTTCTCACCTGTGCCACTTGCAGAGAACAAAGAGCAAGAGCATGATGAGGTGGGTGGCCAATAGTGCCAGGTGGAAGGCACGATGCAGGAAGAGGGCCTCGGGGAGGAAGCGCCAGTTCACTGTCCAGCGGAAGAGAAACTGGCGGCCAAGGTCAAAGGAGCGGGAAAGGTAACCGACAGGGTTCTCCAGCAGGAAGGGCAGCCCCAGCACCACCTGAGGATGGGTATGATGTCAGCAGAGCTGCTCAGGCTCACACTCAGCCTCATGTTAATCACTGAGCAGAGTGGGAATAGGGTGTAGGTCTCAGAGGGGCACTGATTCCCATCAGGAAGAACAAGAAAGCCAGCCCCTCTCACCACTCACCCTTACCCTAGGCCAGAGCCTGGGCCAAAGAAGCCAAGACAGGTAACGATACTGCTTTATATTGTGATTCACCAAGTCATAAATGGGCAGAGCTAGAAAAGCCCTAAGAGACGATATAGTTCAATACCCTTATTTTACAGCTAAAGAAACCAAAGCCCAGAAGTAGTGGCTGCCCAGCCCAGAATCAACTTCTGTCTCACGGTTTTGAGGAAGTCTCAAGGATGGAAGGAGGCCAGACAGAGTGGCCTCCCCTTCACTAAAAAGGAGAATGGGTGAGGCAAGAGTACCTGTAGGACAGCACAGATGCCCAGCTTGGGGAGGGCCCCACGGAGGCCAAATTGTGTGAGGAGAAGAAATAGTAACCCAGGCGCAAAAAGGAGCACGTTCATCTTCACAGAGACTGCCAGGCTAGGGTAGGTAGAAAAGAGGAAGGGAGATCAGCATCAGGGCCATGTATCCCAACCAAAGATGTCCCCCCCACCATCACCGTCACAGCAACTCTTCCCCTCCCCTGCCAGTAAGCTCAAGGATGGGGCCCACATTCAGAACTGCTAGAGGGAGGGTAAGGCAGCCTGGGAGGAGGCTGGAGGTAGGAACAGATACCTAGTCTCTATGTCCAGACCGAGCGAGCAAATATGTTTTGGGTATTAAGAATGTTCAATGACCAGCTCCAACAAGAGGTGCTGTCTGGAAGGAGAAGAGGATGGGGAGAGGAAGAAGTGTGTGTGTGTTGGAGGCCGGGTGGAGACTTTCTATAGATCCTGGACTCACCTAGTGGGGCCCTGACTGACCCACACTATCTGGCCATTCCTTTACTTCCTCTGCTGCGGAAAACTGGGGAGAAAGTGATGAAAATACAAAAAGAAAGGGGACCAGAAGGGAGGGATGTTGACCTGAAACAGCAGCAGCCCCAGCCCCAGCGCTGGGCCAGCAGAAGATTGATACTGAGGAACAGCAGCGCCATGGCCACTGGGTCATTGAAGAGCCGCAACACGAAGATGGAGTGGACACGGTAAGAGGCGCAGCACATGAAGAAAAAGACGAAGGGAGGTACCTGAGAGGTGGGCACAGTGGGGAGGTCAGCTCACCAACTTTGAGCCATCCCTACTCCTTGGCCCTCCCAGGTTGGGGACCCTGGTTCTGGTAGCACAGACTCACCTTGCAGGTCTGGTGGTAGATCAAAAAGACAAGCAGCAAGGTGGCCAGGTAGAGCCCAGCAAAGATGTGCTGGGCCATGCGGATGTCAGTGCCCTGGGCAGTGGCATAGTATAGCCCCATAAAGATGTACACAAAGCCAGCTGGGTACCTGGAAGATGAGAGGGAATGTGAGTCTGGGTCAGGCTACCCAGCCTGGTATCAAGTCAGCTCCTCATGTACTTGCTGAACTTCCTATCCTCACTCACACAAGAGGTCCAGTGTCACCCTGCAGTTGGGTATAGTCATAGGTGCCATTGATGACACCCTCCACCTCAGCCATGTAGGCCTTCCAGTCAATCTCTGTATCTGGAAAAAGACAAGATGGTGTGGTTACTTCCAAGTCCAGAACTTGTCTGCCCCCCACACTGCCAGCCCATCCAAATACAGAGTTCCAGCTCATTTTTAGGACTTCTATCACAACCCCTTACCTAACTGCCTACCAGACATCCTCTGGGTAAACCCAGGCACCTCACACTCAACATGTCTGTAATTGAACTCATAATCTCCTACTCCAAATTCGTTCCCCTTCCTGAGTTCCATGAATGGCGCCATCAACCTCCTAGCTGCCCAAGTCACGAATCTGGGTATCATCTTTGATACTTTCTTCTCTCTCATTTCCTACCCTCAACAACCATGTCCTGCCTATTCTTCATCCTATGTATCTCTACTATCTTATCCTTCTCTACTGTTACATACCTAAATGTGGACCTAACACAATCTCTAGCCTCAATGATGCAATAGCTTCCTAATTAGGCTACCAGCTTCCACATTTGCCCCACCACAATATATTTGCCACCCTGCAACCAGAGTTCTCCTTATAATAGAAATTATATCATGTGTCTACTTAAAACCCTTCAATGATTCCTCGAGGCTCTTAAGATAAAGACCAAACTCTTATTATTCTCATTTTCAGAGGAGGAACCTATAAATTATCGAGGTTAAGTGACTAGCTCAAGATCAGCCAGCTAGGAAGAGTAGAGTTGAAAGTGGAACTCATGGAGTCCTAAATTCTTAACCATCATGCTAACTATCTCCTTAACACAGCTTACAGACCCCTTCATGATATGGTCTCAACTTCTGTAATCTCATTTCTTAGTACTACCCTCACTTGCTCTAAGAAGAATTCTTTCACTTCCTCAAAGGAACCAGACTTTTGATTGGTTTTCGATACAGGATCCTTTCTGCCTAGAGTACTCTTCCCCTTCTTATTTCTTCAAATGGCTAGCTCTTGGCTTTCAAGGGGGAACTCCAGAAAGCCTTCTCTGACAAATTGAGTCTGGCTTAAGTGCCGTCTTGTGTCTTTTATATTACCTTGTTTTACTGTCATGACAAATATGATGCATTGTAATTTTCTGCTAACTTATCTTTGTCTGGGCCTACATATCCAAGTAAGAAATGTGTCTTTTTCACCACTGTATCCTTAGCACCTAGCATAGTGTTAGGCATATAATAAGCACCCAACAAATATGAATTGAATTGATAATCGTCTTTAGCAAGAAAGCCTCAAGCCCAGTGATTTCGGCCTGGAAAAAAGCCGCAAATAATGCCAAACAGACTCAAGTGGTCATAAAATGCCATCGTTGAGAAGAGACTTTCAAGATCCCAGAATTGAACAGATGAGAAAATTGAGATCCAGCAGGGGAAGTCATGTGTCCAAAGCCACAGAGACAAGTAGCAGCAGCAGCAGCAGCAGCTGTACATTAACTCGGACCCAGGTCTTCTGACTTCTAGGCTGGTTTACTTTCTTAGCTTGGAAGCTGGACGTTGCGAGCAGAGGGCCAATCTCTAGGGTCGTCTCTTCCGTCATAGAGGAGGAATTAAAATAGGGTTTGGTTTTCTGTGGAGCAGGCTTGCGACGTGGGTAAAAGGTATGAGTCTGCAAGTGATGACTGAGTGGATCAGGGGTCTGGTTTGAGCTCCAAATCTGAGGGCAGGTTTGAGTGGGAGTTCGAGTTCAGGTCCACCTCCCTCACTCCTCTCCCCTCCCCTCCCCT